CAGGATATTCCGACAATTGAAGAATGGCAACAGAAAGTATTGGAGTATGTGAAAATAGCAAGGAAGAGTCCAACAGCAGGACGATCAGAAATTCCAAAAAGAATGGTCCAAATTTATGGTATACTTAGAGAAAACTGTACATAAATAAAGACACTCACAGGACTGAAATAAAACTCATAACGTTTATTGTAAACATTTGGTTAGATCACAAGATGTAATGCTGGAATATAATAAGGAATGTATGTCTAAAGTATCATACAAAAATTTATTAAGGAATTATAGACATTTATAGAATGTATATATAGTAATCACGCTTCAGTAAGAGCAATGTAGAGAAGCCAGAAGAGGCGTGGAGGGGAGATAATTCAGATAAGATATAGATTTAAAGGAGAATAGGATTGTTAAGCTGTATTGTGTTTAAGATATTTGAAAAAATAAAATAACAATTATTGGGGGGGAGTATAAAGGTTCCCCCACCTGCTATAAGTGACCAGGGCTTTTCCCCACAGCACGTCTCAGGTGGGTGCCATTGCCATTCTGAGAGAATGGGGGAGGTGTTCATAGTGAGTTCCAGCACTTCTTTTTCTAGAAAAACAGCATTGGTTCAAGATACATACCCCTCTTTATCTTCAAACCAGGCAAGCCAAAGGCATATAGTCAGAGTTCCAAGCACCCATTCCAGCCAGGCAAAAATGCACAAGGAAAGTAAGACTGGGTAGGGCATGTGGCCGGCAGAGAGCTCTGAGGGACAAACAGAGAAGCGTTGAGGGCCAACTCATATGGCTGCCAGACCTCAGGTTCCCCACTTCTAATCTGGTCTATGTAGAAAGCACTATCTGAAGATAGGAAATCTGAAATCCATTGCTCTGTATCGAGGCGATTGATAAATCTGCTTCCCTGTGGTGGAGATGGAACCCTGCATAACCTCTCTGAAGGCAATGAGGCTACTTATACAAGTAATAGCATGCAGGATAGAATCCCTTAGTAACTGATCTCACAGACATTGTAATGTCTGCAGCACCACCGTTGAAGCCAAATGGCAAAACTAATTACAGCAGAGTGTAAAAAACCCAGTCAACCGAAAGGGATTAAGACGTTTTAGAAATAGTGAGTATGCAATAACATGGATCCGTTCCAAACACATCAGTGGATTCTTGCTAGCATTTATGAAAGGGTGATAAATGGAGGTCAAAGGAGAAAGATCTGGAGAACCTTCCTGAGGAAACTTTGGTTTATTTTTAGGTATGCAGCAGCCGAGCTCTAGTCATTTGAACCAATAGTGCTGTTAAATTATGACCCTTCCTCAGGTCCTCTGGCAAGATTTTCTCCTCGGCTGAGGCTGCTGTGAACAGAACAGACATTCCCAGCAGAGGTAGTTCAGAGCCCCTCGTGGTCAAAAACAAAGACAGCAGTAGTTCTGTTTGTCTTGAAAATCTTGGCAGGAAGCAGAAAGGTCTTACACACAAGCAAGATATCCCATTCCTTTAGATTAACCCTTCTAAAAGAAGCAACTTGATAGGCCAGAGGGGTGGAGTGTGTTGGTATTATAATGTACAGTGGTACCTCGGGTTAAGAACTTAATTCGTTCTGGAGGTCCGTTCTTAACCTGAAACTGTTCTTAACCTGAAGCACCACTTTAGCTAATGGGGCCTCCTGCTGCCGCAGCGCCGCCAGAGCATGATTTCTGTTCTCATCCTGAAGCAAAGTTCTTAACCCGAGGTACTATTTCTGGGTTGGCGGGGTCTGTAATCTGAAGTATCTGTAACCTGAAGCGCCTGTAACCCGAGGTACCACTGTATTTCTTTCTGTGGGGGAAAAAAGGATAGCCCTCACATATAGCCTTCGACAAAGTCCACAGGCTTGTTCACACCAGGCCCTTGAGTATACAATCTAGGCATGGTGACTGAGCCTTTGGACTGGACTCAGCCTTTGCCCACACTAACACATGCGCCACAGTTGAACATTTAATGTGAACTTTCAATCAAGTAATCTCTCTGACCCTAGGAACTCTCCCCAAGCCACTCCCCCTCCCTAACCACACCCTCTTTTTAATAGGCCACACCCCTTATGCCAGCCCTGCTCTTTGATGGTTTCTGCCTGGCTGGAATGTGTCCTTGAATGACTCATGTTTCCCTGAACAGAGGAGAGAGAGGGGTGTGTGAATGTGTGTGCAGACCTGAGCCTATTGAGGGATGTCTACCTTCTCTTTCAGTCCTGTTCCCTAAGTCAGACCTGCATCCAAACCTGCCTGCCATTGGCCAATCAGGCAGGCAGACTGTGATACAGAGCCTAATAGGTGGAAGGGGCATTATGCTCCCTCCATCTGCCCAGGTAGGGTTCCAAACACTGGATCTTCCTTGTTGAGTCCACAGAAGCCTTCGCCATCCCACATTGCCTCTGCACCTACAGGGTGAACAGTCTTGTACAAAGGCAACACTGACAGGAATTGCTCTGCCCAATTTTGTCTCTGGAGTCTCCCACCACTGGATCAAGCAGATGAGGCAGTGGCTTGTGTGCATATAAAGGTGTTTTGTACTGAGTTGAATAGGATCCAAATTGCAGCAGTCTGATTGGTCCTAGAACAATAGGATTCAGAATGCAGCAGTCTGATTGGTCCCAGAACAATAGGATTCAGAATGCAGCAGCCTGATTGGTCCCAGAACAATAGAATCCAGAATGCAGGAGTCTGATTGGTCCGCAGGAGCCACCCAATCCAACTCCAGGTGGAAGTGAATCCACAACCTGATTGACCTACAGGAGAATCCCGGAAACAGCCAATCACGTGGGGCCCATTGTGTAAATAATGTATATAAAGCAGACATTTCGGGGGAACTTCCATTCCTCACTACTATGAGCTGAATAAAGAGCATGAAATCCACACTTGACTCCGAGTATATTTCAAAAGGCTTAGCTTCACAGTACATTTCCTACATGTGATGAACTCAAGACTTGCCCTCAGACTCCCCATTGCATACTGAACCAACATGTTGTGGCCCCTGCCTCCCTCCATTCTGGACTGGCAGTTGAATCTTGCTTCAACCCTCCTCCACCACTACACCCAAAGACAGCAGTCTACCTTAGAGGGCACATGTCAGGGACTGGCTGGATGAAGAGGAGTGGTGGGAGAAGCGGCGAACCCCCAAGGGAAACCCCAGATCCATGGAATTGGTGTTGGGACACTGAGGAGAGATTAGAAGGAGAAGTTGGGAGGAGGGATTGGATGCTGAAGGGACAACAGGGTTTAGTGAGCAGGGAGAGCCTGTGAGAGGGAGCGTTTCAAACTCAGGGGCTGAAGCGGGGGGGGGGGGGTCAAGAGGCAGCTGAAATAGGGTTGCCATATGTCCTCTTTTTCCAGGACACATCCTGGCAAATGTGTCGAATGCGCAGAATAACGAGGAGAGCAGAACAGAGACCAGAGGTTCACAGATGCAGTTTGAGACTGCTTTAGAAACATCCGTGGGAGGAGGAGCCTTGGAGATGTGTGGAAAGCAAGGACCTTGAGTCCTGGCAACTGCTCCATAGGAGCAAGACCCGCTGGGAAGTGTTTTGTTTCCTTGAATAAAGAGTTAACTTCACTGACAACATGTTCTGCATCTGAGGAGGAGAATCTGAATAAATTGAGACCTTGTGTTGGTCAAAGTTCCATGGTGATGATTTGAATAAGGATCAAGGTCTGAAATGGAACCAGTGTACAAACCAAAGCCCACTTATATTGACTTCTTCTATCCGAATGAAATGTTGTCACATTCTGATCTCATCTCCATCCAAAGAAGCTCAGGGCAGGCAGCATGGTCCATTTCCCGCTCTATTTTGTCCATACAACAACTCTGTGAGGTAGGCTGGGCTGAGAGCCCAGGGAACTTCATGGCTCAGTGGGAAATTGAATTGAGATTTCCCTACTCTTAGCCCAATGCCTTAATTATGATACCACAATGCCTCAACTAAGGAGCAAATGCTGTTCATATCCTCTAAGTATAGATTTGCATAAGCATTTTTAAAGGATTACTATCTCAACATTTATTTATTTTTTAAAGAGCTGAGAGTACACTTTGTAGAGGGAGGGGATTAAAAAAAAAAAGATACATCACCCACTGTTAGGTAAGGACGCTGTATATTTAGTGTGCCTGTGGTTTTTGCAACTACTGTATGTATGTTATCCTAATTTAAAACAGATTTGCCACTACTTTCAACTATAATGGGGATGTGAGCTAAGCATACGAGTCAGAAAAGACTGTACAAAATGTGAAATTCTGATGCTAGACATTCCAGCTAACCCTTTGCAGACAGGAATGTGGCTTTGTCTGGGCAAGCCTCTTGGAGAGCTAGGGGTGTTCAAGATATTCAATAAGGATTGGTAACGCGGAGGCCTGAAGCCCAGATCTACCCCCAAATCTTCCCATCTGGCCCCTAGTATTTATTTATTATTATTTATTTCATGAAATTTATATGCCGCTTGATTGCCGTTGTTTTTAAAAATACGCCAAGTAGAGCTCTTGGTGGCCCCAAATTACCATGCAACACAGCCATTGTCTGCCAAGGTGAGAAACAAATGGTTCTTTCTTTCCCTCTTCTGCAATGCAGAGGTTGTGGACTGTCCTTCCTGGCAGGTTTTTAAGCAGAGGTTGGATGGCCATCTGTCAGGGATGATTTAGATGAGATTCCTGCATTTTGCAGGGGGTTGGACTACACCCCACGAACCTGGCACCCCAAACTGATGACAATGAATGTAGTCAAGCTAAAGTGACAGACATACCAAATGCTGCTGGAATGAGCAGCAAGCTAAAACCTTCAGAGCAATTGCCCAGCATATTAATCTATGTTATGGTCGAACATTAAATATCGAAATGATATGCTTTATAAAAACACTCGTTTTATTCAAACCCAAAGGGCAATGTTATTTCCTGACCCACATCATTCCCACTGTGCTAAGTTCCATGAGGGTAAGAAAAAATGTAACAATATTGCTTGTATCTTAAAAGATACAAAAGTAATATCTTTATTGCCACATGATTGCCCCTCCATTAATACACTTCCGATCATTCCATGGTCATTACACAGAACAGCATGGGAGTCTTCTCTCTGCTTCTAGCAAAAAAACAAAAAGGGAAAGAACTTGATCTTGTTTTTCTTTCTTTTCTTTTTTTAAAAAGAAAGTTTTATAAAGCAGTATATAAATATATGAATTATAAAAATAATTCATGAGAAAAAATGTCCTGGCATAAATATATGTCTGGTGACCAAAGGTCAGGCCCATAAGGGTATGTAGAGGGGTGTTCTCAGTGTCCTTCCATCAGTTTTGGAATGTGCTTATTCTGATGGTTCTTCAGGTGTTACAGGACTGCAATCTCCATTATCCCCAACTGCTGGTCGTGTATGCTTTTGGCTGATGGCATGCAGCAACATCTGGGTGGTTGCAGATGCCTCAGCTCTGCTATAAATAATTGCCAACAGCTGAGCCTGAATATCTTCTGGAAGTGGTCTCTCTCTCTCTCTCTCTCTCTCTCTCACCCACACCCACACCCACACCCACACACCCTGCTCTTCAATGTCTGTTCAGTGTCTGGTGGCTGTGGAAAAAGGCAAATCCCATGCTAGAGATCAGGGAAGTTTTTAATGTGTGACATTTTAATGTATTGTTAATCTTTGTTGGAAGCCACCCAGAGTGGCTGGGGAAACCCAGCCAGATGCGCAGGGTACAAATAAATTATTATTATTATTATTATTTATTATTATTATTATTATTATTATTATTATTATTAGGAAAGGGATTGGAAATAAAACTTGAAATATTAAAATGCCATTACACAACTCTTTGGTGCACCTGTGCTTGGAATACTGTGTACGGTTGTAGTTGCCTCACTACGAAAATGTAAACGGGGGAAAGATGGATAAAAGGGCAACAAAAATTATCAAAGGGCTGGAAGCAACTTCCCTATGAGAAAAGGTTTGGAGCTTTAACAGCAACAACAACAACAACAACAACAACAACAACAACAACGCCTCCCATCTGACTGGGTTGCCCCAGCCACTTCGGGCAGCTTCCAACAAAATATTAAAAACACAAACAAACATTAAAAACTTCCCTATACAGGGCTGCCTTTATATGTCTTCTGAATGTCATATAGCTGTTTATCTCCTTGGCATATGCTGGGAGGGCGTTGCACAGGGTGGGCGCCACTACCGAGAAGGCCCTCTGTCTGGTTCCCTATAACTTCACTTCTCACAGAGAGGGAACAACCAGAAGGCCCTCAGAGCTGGATCTCCATGTCCGGGCTGGATGATGGGGGTGGAGATGCTCCTTCAGGTATACAGGACCAAGACCATTTAGGGCTTTAAAGGTAAGCACTAACACTTTGAACTGTGCTAGAAAAAAAGACACATGATAGAGATGTTTATGCTTGGTGTGGGAAAAGTGGAGAGAGTCTGTCCCCCCATAATATTAAAACCTGGGGATAGCCAATGAAGCTGAATATTGGAAGAGTCAGAGCAGACAAAAGGAAGTGCTTCCCCACACTGTGCCCAGGTGTAGCAATGCTGACCAATGTGGACAGCTTTAAAAGGGGGTTAGACAAATCCCTGAATAAGGTTACCAAAGGCTATTTGTCATCCAGGATGTGTGCCTCTGGTATCAGAGGCAGTTATGCCCTTGTTCCACAAGTGGGGATAGTGTTGCTGTGGTCACATCTTGCTTCCGGGAATCCCACAGGCATCCTGTTCTGAGAGCAGAATACTGGTCTCAATGGGCCTTTGTTCTGGCCCCACAGACTAACGTGGTTCTGGATTCTACCCTCAGCAATCATGTTCATGAACATTCCAATATTCAGTGTGAGGGAACAAATGCCAGCACACAATGCATGGATGTCAGGGACTGGGCAGAGGAGGGGGACCAATGGTGGATACCACCTCCTCAGCCTGAAACTTCCAGAGAAGAGGAAGACAATATAGATTTACAACAGTGGTTTGTGGAAGGTCATAGCTCAGAGGCTGCAGAGGGGAGAAGCTGGGAAATATTGGGAGAGGAGCAGGAAGAAGAAGACGCACCAGTGGAGAGACAGCTGACAGACTCAGTGTCTTTAGAAAGCATTCCAGACCCTCCCTCTCCCAGAACCCGGTGAGCATTGAAAGTAGGAGAACAGAAAGCTCAGAGGCAGAAAGCACAGATCAGCCAATGTAGGGATGACGTATACTGTAATAGGAGAGGCAGAGGGGGTGGGGCTTCACTTGGAGCAATGCCATTAACCTGAGAGGCAACGTTCCTAAGCCTCTCTCTGTGAACATTTAATAAATACATTGGTAAGAACTTCTTGTCTATCTGTTACTGGCAGCCTGCAGTGAGCGGGGAGGGATCAGATTCTCTGAAGCCTGACAATGGAAAGCCTTGGCCAATTAATTTGAATGGAACAAGGAGGTGGGGAATGGCTTTCTTCTTTGTGTATGGTTTGGAAGCCATACCTCACTTGTGCTGTCAGAGGAGATCTTCCAGCACGCTCCCTCCCGTGTTTACATTTGTAGCATTACGTTTGATGTTTCGAGATGCGTCACTCAAACAACAGTGAAACACGGCCCCATTAACAATTCTCTTTGGCTGTGTTTAGATATTTAGCATCAGTAACACACTGCTGTAAATCGACATTTACCTTGGCAATGGCGGCCTGGGATTCGTGATTTGCTACAAAATCAAGATCAAAGTACTTGAAGGCAAAATGATTGCAATCAAGATAGCGTTCCATTCACGATCTGCTTTTCAGAGGCTGCCTTTCCATTAGTGATGCATTTTGTTGTTGTTGTTGTATACACAAAATGAGATGAATGGTTTGGGATTCCCAGCTTCTACCTGGGAGGTGATATAGCTATAGCTAACTTTGAGAAGCTATGCCCTTAACAAATGCAATACAGGACTCATCCAGACTTCCTGGATCGAATTCAAGCAGTAATTTACTGCTATTTTTACACCAAATAATTTGGCTAAACAGTGGTACCTCAGGTTACAAACTTAATTTGTTCTGGAGGTCTGTTCTTAACCTGAAACCATTATTAACCTGAGGCACGCTTTTGCTAATGGGGCCTCCCGCTGCGGCCACGCTGCCGGCATGCGATTTCTGTTCTCATCCTGGGACAAAGTTCGCAACCCAGAACAACTACTTCCAGGTTAGCGGAGTTTGTAACCCGAAGTGTTTGTAACCCGAGGTACCACTGTATTCACTGTAGGCGAAAACATCAGGAAGAATATAATTTTGAATATGTATGTTTCCTTCCCATTCCTTCTTATATTCCACACAACCTTCTTGCCCCGATCATCAAAGCTCTCCATAGCATTGACTTAACATTTTGTCCTTTATATCTTGTCCTCCTGCCTGCGGCTTCTGCTCTTACAACTCTAGAATTTTCTGTCACATGAAGATCTTGGAATCTCTTAAAGGACTTCACCCATTCACCCATTCATTGCATTTCTGTACAACCCTTCATCTGAGGATCTCAGGGCAGTCTGAAATATAAAAACAGGAAAATGTATAACCTAGTAACAAATAAAACAATAACCTGAGACGCACACTTTGAAAGCCATAAATTATTTAATCAGCCAAAGACCTGGGAGAAGAGGCATGTTTTTGACTGGCACCTAAAGATATGTAATGATGTCAGGTGAGTCTCCCTGAAGAGAGCATTCTGCAAATGAGGAGCCACTGCAGAATAGGCCCTTTTTCATGTTGCCACCCTCTGAACCTCTTATAGAGGGAGCAAACAAAGAAGGGCCTCAGATGATGATCACAGGGTCTGCGTCAGTTCATTTGTTGGTTTGCTGCATGTACAAAAATACACAACCTGTACACTTGTTGGCTGTTACATGCAAATAACCATACGAGTATAGTGATCAGCTATTTGTGTGCTAAGGGGACACACAACAACTGTAACATATGAACACCCTCTGTGGATCTGTGAATGTTTTATAATGTACCATATGCCTTTCCTGCTTTTGTATGCTGTCTTACACTTTTTACACATTAAAGCAGTTCATAAATATGTTCATTCTTGAAATGCATTTGGGCAGGATTGGCTCCATAGTCGACATCCTTAGGAAAGTGCTTTTGGTCGGCTCCAGGAAATTTCAGTGATGTGGCGGCATCAACAGACAACTGCAGCACTGCAACAGGCACTAGATGGCTTGCAGCTCCCTTTTTAATTCCTCACAATGCTCTCTACATAATGTTGCTTCAGGACATTGTGAGGAATTTTAATGATAGCCTCCATACCTGAGAACTGGAAGGTAACACCATATATATTAACCAATCTGTATCGTCTCTGCTAAGTGATACAGATATCAGGTTGCACACCCAGGATTCTGGAATGAAGAAGAAAATTCTGCTCCCTACTTTTGAGAAAATTAAGCCTGGCTAGAGCCCAGATCTGTCTCGTGCCTTAAGCAAAACACTCAGGTTCCTGGTTAGGCAGAGAACAGAACAAAAGAGAAACATGACAGAATCTATATTGGCAAAGCCAGAGATTAATTTGATGTACAAGGTTATCAAAGAGTCATCTGAAATCTACAAAATGATGCAAAAAAGATTTTTTTTAAAAAAGGTCAAGGACCCCTAGATGGTTAAGTCTAGTCAAAGACAACTCTGGGGTTGTGGCGCTCATCTCACTTTCAGGCTGAGAGAGCTGGCGTTTGTCCACAGACAGCTTTCTGGGTCATGTGGTCAGCATGACTAAACAGCTTCTGGCACAATAGAACACTGTGACAGAAACCAGAAATGCCATTTACCTTCCTGCTGCAGTGGTACCTATTTATCTACTCGCACTGCTGTGCTTTTGAACTGCTAGGTTGGCTGGGACAGAGCAACAGGAGCTCACCCCGTCACAGGGATTCAAACCGCTGACCTTCCAATCGACAAGCCCAAGAGGCTCTGTGGTTTAGACCACAGCGCCACCCGCATCCCACAAAATGATGCATAGCTTGGTGAAAGTGGATTGAGAAAGATTTTCCTCCCTTCTTCTTCATAGCACCAGACCTCATGGTCATCCCATGAAGCTGAATGTTGGAAGATTCGGATCAAAGCACACTCTTACTTCCACAGTCGGCAGACAGGGCCACCACATTGGATGGCTTTAAAAGACAAATTCTTAGAGGGCAAGGCTACCAGAGGCAACTAGCCATGATGATTATATTCTACCTCCACTGTCAGAGGTAGTATGTTTCTGAATACCAGTTGCTAGGCCTGCCTGCTCTTGGTAACTGGTGGCAAGAAACTGGGTGAATCAAAATGGCTGTGCCAAGCACTAATGTACAACGCAGGGAGCATTTAAGCATTTTGCAAGAGAATTGGATTAGGATCAGAAAGGTAGCTTTGGTGGAACAATACAGATGAGTTAGCATGTAGTACTAGACACCACCCAATTAAGTTACCACCTGGCAAATAGGCATCTATGTATACCCAATGTCAAACTGAGTTGTGTAACGAATGTATGGCACTAAGAACTGTGGGAAATTTGCATTCCGAGTGGGAAGCAATGAAACTTGATGTGTAACTGGATCAAGCAACTCAATTTCTGGCACTCTAGAATGCCCTTTCACGGAACCTGTACAACCCATCTCAAGTGTGAGGTGGAACCCTAGGCCTACTTCCTCCTGAAAGGTCTTGGAACAAACCACTACCACTTCCATTTAATTGTCTCCTGCTATGAAGCCTCTATCATTGAACCTGTGTGTTAGGTCTTTTAAGTACTTGTTTACTCCACTTGCTAGGAATCACACTCCTTTTTTTTTTTTTAATAATATTTATTGGTTTTACAAAAACAAATTCCAAAAGATGTGGAAAAATACAAAAATTTGACAAACAGAAAACAACAATAACCATAACAAAAAGCAAACATAGATAACAATATCCCTAACACAAAAAGAGAAAGAAAAAAAAAGGAAAAAAGGAAAAAAAGAAAAAAAAGACAGAAAAATTTAAAAAGTAATATACCTTCATTTAACCTTCTTATCATTACCTAATTCTTTGACTTCTCCACATCTCCCCGCTTGTATTTCCATTTAAAAACTCCTTTCAGCAAATCCTTACCCTCCTTTCTTTATCTTAACTCAAAGTTAATCTATTTATATATAAATATTACAGCTTTATCCATCAAATATTCCATGCTCTTAATCACAAGACTTTTGCCAATACCAGTTATTTTCAATCAGACCTCAATTTAACATTCATTAATTTTATAGTATTTCTGTAGATAGTCTTTGAATTTCTTCCAGTCTTCTTCCACCGACTCTTCTCCCTGGTCACGGATTCTGCCAGTCATCTCAGCCAGTTCCATATATTCAATTACCTTCGTCTGCCATTCTTCCAGAGTGGGTAAATCTTGTGTCTTCCAATACTTTGCGATGAGTATTCTTGCTGCTGTTGTTGCGTACATAAAGAAAGTTCTGTCCTTTTTTAACACCAATTGGCCGACTATGCCCAGGAGAAAGGCCTCTGGTTTCTTAGGGAAGGTATATTTGAATACCTTTTTTAATTCATTATATATCATTTCCCAGAAAGCCTTAATCTTTGGGCACGTCCACCAAAGGTGAAAGAATGTACCTTCAGTTTCTTTACATTTCCAACATTTATTATCGGGCAAGTGATAGATTTTTGCAAGCTTGACTGGGGTCATGTACCACCTGTACACCATTTTCATTATATTCTCTTTTAAAGCATTACATGCTGTAAACTTCGTACCTGTGGTCCATAACCGTTCC